TTTAAGTGAAATACAACTGTAATATATCAAAGTCTAAGTTAGTCCTTCCTCTATTTGATGCAAGTTATTTCTCTTTAAAAGCTATACTTGTTTAGATGTTATTACGAATCAAACAGGAGTACTTTTTTTTGGGCCACCCGGTAGATCTACACACGTAAAAACGCACAAGTTGTTATAGATGTGCAAACAACTTGTTACAAGGTTGTTATCAAGCCGATATCAGGATGTGTTCGCACTGCTTGTTCCAAGTTGTTGTAACAAGTCTGAATCAAGTTGTTAGTACCTTGTTACAAGGTTGATGACGGTAACACACTTCCTACAAGTTGTTCCAATAAGACTAATACGTAACAAGTTGCTACGAGGCTGTTGTTATCAACTTGTTAACAACTTGTTAGGTGCAGACGATATCAGACTTGTTCGAACAACTTTGTTGCGAGTCAGTTGGCCTCATCAACCTTGTTGCAAGATGATAATAACTTTCCAGATTTGTCAACAACTGGCAGCAAGCAGTGCGAACACATCTGTTGACAAGCTATGAGATTTTTACGCGTGTATACCCAGGGCTGCAAATTACTGTCGGACATCGGACAATGTCCGACTAAATTTGGCAAATGTCCGAGAAAAAGTAATTTTGATCGGACATTGTCACAAAAAAATTGTCACATACATTTTTTTGCTGTGACAAAATCCGATTGCAAATTCACTCAATTTGCAGTTTGCAATAAAATTTACGAGGCATTCTAGCATTTTACTTAACGTTGCGCCGGAATGGCTATACATACTTGTCTCGTGACTTTATATATATATATATATATATATCAAGTCAAATATTTGCAGCCCTGTATACCCGATCTATAAGAACCGTTACATCGTAAATGAATGTCACTTTTGACAGGCGACTTGCTTGAGATATTACCCATTGAGGTCGTTGACTTAAATCAGTAACCTTTGACATAACTTTTTCCTAGGACAAATTTTTTAATATTGTATAATTGTTCCCACCTCTTAACATCTTCATGTCGTAAGCTTGGGACATATTTCTGGAGTCGTTTCACTTGAGCTTGTCTGTTTAGACCGTGGTAAAATTCACTTGCACCAAACTTCCAATGTTTCAAAGCCAGCTTACGTAATCCCCTGAAATGAGTTTCATAGTACTGTTACTGTAATCACATCTTCAGAAAAAAAACTTATCTCGAAACGTCTACGACCAAGGTTCGATTCCTGCAATAGGCAGTTGTCTGACTATAATTTCACTTCAGAGGGGGACAATGTTTCAATATGTATGGCAAAGGGGTTTCGGTGTCCGTTTAAGGCTCTAAGTTATTCGAATCTTTCAGAACATGGGTCATTTGATGAAATGAATAAAGAGTTCCGAGTTGTGCCATTTGACTGACATTATGTACTTTTTCTAAGATAATCAATTAATCATGTCGATTAGCGTTGTTGTTTAATGTACAGTTATATAACTATCAATTCTAATTGTTTAAAATATTTTATCAGTAGAGCTGTTAGGATTGTATAAAATGTGTATGTTGTGGCATCATTGGCTTGCATTGTACAGTATCATATATTGCTTGCTATACTGCTAACTTTAGTTTTATTTAGTAGTCATTATTTAATATGACAATTACGTTATATGGGTGTGATTGTTTGCTTGCCACTCGCTCCTAAACAATGCTTGTGAATTGTGATATTCAGTACCAGACTTTGATAGGTCTTTTAAAATTATTAGGGGACGGGGGCGCCGCCCCCCCCCCCCAGTGTCCGCCACCGGTAGGAATGCTTCCAGTTTGACAACCAAACTCTGCAAATTTCTCTGGGCAGTCTTAATACAAGGGAATCTGATTTCCTACAGCAGTAACACAGGACCAAACGTCGCACACAAGGCCATATTTCACTCGGCTTTTTTCCCGGAGATTGACCAACAAAAGATGGCCCTTATGGAGTCTGGGAGAAAAGTTAAGAACTGGTAAAGGTACCAGCAGGGACGCCGGAACTGGGGGCAGGAGGGGCAGCCGCCCCCGTTGCCCTTTACCAGGAGGGGGAAGGGGGGGCGGGCAAAGGTGCCCTTTCAATTTAAAGGATTGCCTTGGCGAAATAGCAAATTGTCAGAAATGTTAGTGCAATTCTTCTACGAATTTGCATCAGAAAACGCAAGAAATGCAGTCATCGAGCTTCAAGAATAGCGCAGTCTCCTGGCGGAGAACCCCCTCACACCCCTATCATCCAATAAGTAGAAAACATGATTAGGCGAGGTTCAATTCCCGATGTTTTGCAAACATCTCTTAATATATATTAATTCAAAAGTGGCCTTTCACGAAAATCTGCCCCCCTTGCCTTCACATCGCTCCGGCGTCCCTGGGTACCTGTACAATTATACTTATTAGAAAGGTTCAGATTTGACTTTCACTGCCGCTATACCATTATTAACCAATGTGATGCGTGCTACTAAATTCTCACCTGAAAGCAATAGATTCCACAAGGTCACTGACATTAACAGTCCCCATCTTATATCCCTCCCTTGCAAACGCCAACACGGCATTAGGTCCCAGTAACACGCTGCCATCCATACGTGGAGTGAAATGAACTCCCAGAAAAGGCAATGTTGGATCAGGGACATAAATTGAAAGAAGAAAAACGGTGAATATGGGGTTTGGTCCACATTTCTAGGGTTTCATATATAGCCGCAAGAGCAAGCGCCATTCACCTCTGAGATCCCCGATTCAAGCTACGGCTCTACGGTGTGAAGAGTCAGTCAACGCTCTGCCGATAGTCGTTTGTTTTCTCCGGGTGCCCCAGTTTCTTCCCACAGGGAAAATTGGCTGCGTGCATGGGCGTACCGGAAGGAAAAATTTAGAGGGGCGGAAAGAAATTTTGGCGACCTCCCCCGAACCTAACAAAAATTTTCGAAATATCAGTAAATTGACAGCAAAATTTACAGAATTTATCCCATTTATTTTTTTAATAAACCAAAACTGCCCGACTGTTCAGTGAATATTGCCCGACTGCCCAACAAACTGGGGTGGCTGCCGCCCCCCCCGCCCGGTACGCCCATGGCTGCGTGGTTTATGATAACACAGTCAAGAAAGCAATATTATTGTAAAAGGTAAAATAGGCTTGGTAACGTTATTGGAGGTTCAATCTAAGCTTCTCTTGAGTGTCAATGCTGTTTTTGAATGGCTGAAGGGTTAGTGTAACTTACTATGTGACTACTCACCCTCCAGCTATTCAAAAACAGCACTGACACTCAAGAGAAGCTCAGATTGAACCTCCACTCTTTGAGTGTGAGAGCTTTCAGAATATAAGCGAAGTACACAGCTAAAACGATCAGGTTGTTGCAAAATTGATGAAAACAGGATTGAACTAGAGGGCACTCAGAGACTGCATACCTCCGCCTACGCGCAAAATATTGAAGTAATCTATTGTTATTAGAATTTGAATGGCTGGTGCATATATTATGCACGTCCTAATTACGCATTCAGTATTTCAGTATAAGTTTTATTTAATTGACCGGGAAAAGCAAGACAAACTTTTGTTATTTCTCATTCAATTTTTAACCAAATTCAACCAAATTTTAATCAGTTCTTCCTTAGCCGATGGGAAATGCACTGACAAAATTTCGTACGGATATGTTTGGTATTTCTTGAGTTATCGTGCTCACAGACAAACACACACACACACATACACACACACATACACACACACATACAAACCCAGATGATTACATAACCTCCTGGCGGAGGTAACAATGTTGTGCGGCCCACATTGTTCACAGTTGTCAACAATATTGAACAATATTGTTATACCCGATTCAGGCTCAACAATATTGTTCAATATTGTTGACAAGTGTGAACAATGCTCTGTGAACAATGTGGGCCGCACAACATTGTTCAATCCTGTTAAACAGCAGGCTCATAATTTTTACGCGTGTATGTAATTAGGTAAGCGTAATACTTCATGTATATCCACATCAAAATTTGCGCTATAGAGATGTTAATCTTAATCTTTTAACTTACTGGATAAATATTTCCATGAACTAACTGCTTTCCCTTCTCTGCTGAAAGTTTTAAGTATTCTCCTCTGAATGGAACAACACGAGGTAGTGGGTTACTGCCTGACAGTTGTGCGAGACGATCTGAGAACAGTCCACCGCAAGTGACCACATAGCGACTGAACAGTTCTTCCCCTTGCTTTCCAGTAATTCTAACGGGATGTTGGTGATCTAAGAAGCAGTTCATATACCAGAATTAGTTCTTGGGTTCAGTTCTCTTAAATAGTTAAAGTTCAAATCAATTAATATACCTACGTGTACTACTCGAAAACTTCGCTACCTAAGGAAGATGCAACGATTGTCATTAATTAAACAATTTAAAACACATACCTTCATATTTTGAAGGTTTTTCGTTTGGGGAGTTTGATTTAAAAACACCTATGATTTCGTAACTGTAGCAAAACAGTAACAGTATACAGCCAAGGAATAAAGACTCCAAGATTCGTCAGACAAAGACTCACAATGAACATTTTTTGAGGAAACATAAAAATATTTAAGTTCACACCTACCTCAAAGTTAACTTTTACTTCGCCTCCAGACTTCTGAAACTGTTCGCCATATGATCTAGCAACTTCACCCCAGTCCACAATACCGGTATGAGGAGAGTGAATTGCACGAACACCCTATAAAACATACAAAAAAGTTTGTTTTACATTTCTCTTTGCTTGTTTGTTTTCAGTCAGGCAAGCAAGCAAGCAAGCAAGCAAACAAACAAACAAACAAACAAACAAACAAACAAACAAACAAACAAACAAACAAACAAACAAACAAACAAACAAACAAAATGAACAAGCTCATGTTTACAGTTTTCTTACTTCACAATTTGGTTCAACATCCTTTAGTTCATGTTTATCTAACAGCTTCAAATCTCTAGCGCCATTTTCTTTTCCTCTTTCGTACAAGTTCAGAAGTCTGGGAACTTCTTCTTCGTCAATTGCTACGATAAGCTGAAAATACACAACGTATTCCAAATAACTAAAAGAAATTCATATGATAAATTGTTTGATTCGTAACTGTTGCTAAACTAGGCTTTCGTCTAATTCACTCAGTGATCTCATCGACCTGGACAGACGGAATTCACGGAAAAGTCCATTCTTTGTCAGACGCTAGCAACAGACACTGGTATCATGCAGTAGTTGAGTAAATTGGAAAAGCACAGAGATTTTTCACCACTTACATCATAAAATCAATTTGTTACAATACAATCACTTTAGGCTAGAGTGCATGAAATGTACTACCGACGTCCGACGCATTCTGCAAATACTTTTCAATAATCTAGCGGCTTCTGAGCACAGTGTTTTTATTGCTCAATTTCCCAAGGCTTTTGTGGTCAGAACGATGAAATTGTTAGATTCTTGAGAAGAAATGTCGACCTATTAGAAGAAGTGGAATCGTCGTGAAAGGAATCGTCGTGAAATTTCACACTGTAACTGTGTGCTAAATTTCGTGAGCGTGCGTGAAATAATAATAATAATAATAATGGTTTATTACAGCTTTTCCACAGCGTGGCTCTACATCTGCAAAAGTTTACATAAAAATATATTATACTATTAATAGAAAGTCTCTACGAAAATTTAAAACTAAGGATAACATTTTAACTATGTAAAATATTTGTCTCTAGCGTTACACATTAAAAAGTCTTTGCACTGCCGTGAGAAATGTCCGAAATGTTCGCAATTCCTAAGTTCAGCAGGTAAAGCATTGAACAATTGCGAGGCTGTATCTTGAAATGTTCCACTTTCTAGCGGTACTTGAAGTTTCTTTGCTGCGCTTGAGCGAAGGACTCGCTCACTTGATTGAATTTTCAGCGAAAGATATGCTGGCCATGGGGATTGATGTAATGCTTTGTGTGCCATTTTTAGCATGTGCCAGTCGCGTCTCTCCTTAATTGGGAGCCAACCAATATTAATGACGTCAGCAACTTTAGCGTAAGAGCCTTTAACAAAACCAGCGCATGCATTTTGGATGCGCTGTAGTCTCTTTAGTTGGTAGTCATGTACAGGACTATAAACTGTGTCGCAGTAATCTAGCTTTGATATGACAAGCATTTCGACTAATTGTCTACGTAAGTTATACGGGGCCATATGCTTTAGCTTACGTAAGACTGCCAAGACAGCACAACAGGAAGACGTCAAATATTTTATATGTTCATTCCAGTTTAAGTGATCAGTAAAAATGACGCCCAGTAATTTGGTAGCAGTTTCGCGTTTTATTTCCTGATTAGCACAGATAAGATCTAGTTTAACTTTGTCGAGGGAATGCGTTCGTGACATTTGAGCTGTAGAGAACAGCATTGATTTAGTTTTTTTCGGATTTAATGACAGATTCGAAAGTGAGGACCAGTGATTCAGAGAATCCAACGATTGTTGCATATTATCGATTGATTGATCGAGTTTGGCAGTTTTACAATGTTCATACAGCGAAGTGTCATCCGCATATTGATAACAAGTTTGAGGGACATCAACATCAGATACATATAGGTTAAAAATAAAAGGACCAAGTATGGATCCTTGTGGTACTCCAAAGCATACAGGTGTTAGGTTAGATTTCTTGTCATCAATTTGAACATATTGGAAGCGATTTGTTAGATAACTCGTTATCCAGTATAAAAAGCCATGGGAGAAATTTAGTCGATGTAATTTTTTTAGAACGGTCTTAAAGTTTATGGTATCGAATGCTTTCGAGAAGCCTGCTAAAAGCATAAGGGTAAGTTCTCCTTTTTTCATAGCGCTCTTAATATCGTCTCTCATAGCCATCAAGATCGTGGCAGTAGAATGGCCCTTTCTAAAACCAGACATATTATCGTTAAGACAGTTGTCGATAAAAGGCAACTGCTGTTTGAGGACGAGTCTTTCATATATCTTGGATAAGACAGGTAGGATTGCGATAGGTCTAAAATCATCATGGGTCTTTGGAGTTTCCGTTTTAGGAATGGAAGATATTCTTGAGATCTTCCAAGCAGAGGGAAATGAGTTAGCATCAATACAGGAGTTTATAATGTGTGTCAGAGGAGCTGCGATTATATCAGCAACTGGTTTAATGTACTTTGATGGAATTTGATCAGGACCTGTCGAACTATCATTACGAAGATTATGCAATTCTTTTAATACTTCTGCTTGGCTGACCTTATTCAAACTGAAACTTTGCTCAGTGGAAATAGGCAAAGAGTCAATGTAAGCGTAGAGATCGTTATTGCTAACGTTATTCGTGTAGCCCAGTGTCCGCTGAACAGTACAAGCAAAATGCAAATTCAATTCGTTTGGGTCATGTCGAAGTGGCTGCGAAGGGGGGTTTAAAATAGAATGAATTACTTTCCAGATCTTTTTGGAGTTTTTGGAGGATAAGACTGTGAGAAATAAATACCTACTTTTGTGATAGTGAAATTTTCAGAATTTTTAGGCCATTCGACATTGGAATGACGAAATGCCGCCATTCCAAAACTATAAAGATATCGTCGTGAAATTCCACACAATCATAGACCAGGGGTATCAGTCTGCCAAGTTTCGTGAGCGTGGGTGAAATACCCGCTGGGAAATAAAGGCCTGCTTTTACCTGTGCCGGAGATGGTGAAATTTTCAGAATTGTTAGGCCGTTCGACATCGAAAAAGGATTAAATGTATTGCCATGAAATTTCACACGATCAAAGACCAAGATAGAGGGTGTCTGGGTGCCAAGTTGCATGACTAGCGTAGGCGAAACACTCGCTGAGAATCAAAGGCCTGCTTTTATCTGTGCCAGAGATGATGAAACTTTCAGAATTTTTAGGCCGTTCCGACATATCGAAAAGACGAAATGTCGTCATTCTAAAACTATTAAAGGTATCGCCATGAAAGTTCACTTCGCACGATCATAGAAAGAAAAATATATTTTTAAACAATTTCCTGTGCTGTGCGCGCACACCTCATGAGCCATTTCTGAGACCATAACAAGGCAATTACATTAATATTTTTTATTGCAACAGGGTATTGTTTCTGTATCGCTGTTTCTCAATTCTTTTAAGCGTCAAAAAATGCCTGATGAAGTGATTGAACGTGCCATTAATATCATCAAGCCAAAAATATCGAATTTAGTAGTGAAAAGTCAATATACCATGGCCTTCGCCCCCTTACCCCCACTAGCAACTGTGGCCCCAGACCGCTGCTGCAACTTATCTGGCGGTGCTACGCGTCCCGTCACTCAACTCACCTAAAGTTTTGGCACACCGCCCCCGCGCAAAATCTGTCTATGCAATATACCAATATACATGTTACCATTAACTAACCTTTCCACATTTCTTGAAAGGAATTTCTTTACTCTTGCAATAGGAATACGTCATATCAAGTCCTTTAACACAGAGTTTTGCCTTGAGCGTTCCAGGTGTGTAGTATATACCGGAGTGTATTACACCGCTGTTGTGAGAGGACTGGTGCATAGCTGAAATGTAGGAAGGAAGAAAGTAGGGTGTGCTAATCATCCTTATACTTTCAGCTGAGAGCGAGGTTGAATTGCAGCTCAACCTGATCCAGTCGAAGCTATACGCCCGTATTCTAAAAGCTCACTCACACTCACACACTCAATGAGTGGAGGTTCAATCTGAGCTTCTCTTGAGTGTCAATGCTGGTTTTGAATAGCTGGAGGGTGAGTAGTCACATAGTAAGGTACGACACTAACCCTCCAAGTAACCATGTAAGGTGATATCATAGTATACAATATAATGTTGTAAAACTAATGAGTGACTGACTGGCCTTTGAAAAAAGGTTGTCCTTTGCAAACCCATATTCTAAAAGCTCACTCACACAATGAATGAGTGGAGGTTCAATATAAGCTTCTCTCAAATGTCATTGCTGTTTTTGAATAGCTGGAGGGTTAGTGTCGTGTCATACTGTTTGACTATTCACCCTCCAGCTATTCAAAAACAGCATTGACACTCAAAAGAAGCTCAGATTGAACCTCCACTCATTGATGAGTGTGAGTGAGCTTTTAGAATTCGGGCGTTAGGCTTACTAAGGGCGCTTCAGGCATGACTCATGTCTGACCACGGAGAACAGCTACGGTGGAAGGGTCAGTTAGGGGGCTAATCCTAACCCACCCTGTCAACATTCCCTTTCCCATACACCGTACAATACATTGGCATCACCTTATGCATTCAGGCCTTAAAATATCGGTCGGTCACGGACATTGTCCGACCCATTCGTGAAATTGTCCGACGTAGAAAAGAAACCACCGGACATTCTGTCCGACCTAAGACTAAGTGAAACTGAGGTTTATTGTTTGTCCGACCCGAGTGTATTGGTGTCCGACCGAACTGTAGCTTTGTCCGACGTAAATCAAAATGTACCCTAGCCCAGGAGGCCAGGACTAGAGGCAGGCTTGTATGTTAAATGGAAAATCAGAGTACTATCGTATAAAAGGTTAACTGGAAATGTTGTTTTAACGTAGTCGAGCGCGGGGCGGCGAGCGAAATGGTGAAGTGGAAAACGAGCTTAAATTGTCGAAGTCTTTTTGATACTGCTGTTCTGGCAAGTGTATGAAAGAAACAAATTATTTAATATCTTAAAGTTTACAACATTTACCGTTTATTCATTTATGTCATTCAGACTTATTTCCGAGTCAAAAATGAACTGCAGGTCATCGGACATATGTCCGACCCAAACTCAACGTCACCGGACATTTTGTCAGACGGCCCTGGAAAAGATATTTTAAGGCCTGCTGCATTAGCATATTTATACATGAACGTGTGGTTAAAGCTCGACAACTGTCTCTCAGAGAGACAGTTGTCGAGCTTTAACCCACACGTTCATGTATAAATATGCTAATGCACAGGCCTTAAAATATCTTTTGCAGGGCCGTCTGACAAAATGTGGTTAGGCCTTTCCCGATTGCGCTGGTAAAATCCTAAAAAAGTGCTGGCAAAAATGGCTAAAAAGTGCTCAAAAAGTGCTCAAAATCTCCAAATAGTGCTCAAAAAATGCTAAAATTGTGAACAGTTACCTTTCTCCATATATGGAACAAACTTCCGTATATGGAGTTGTTTACGACAAAAAAATGAGAACTCGAAAAAGTCAGCGTTCTAATTTTTTAACTGTAATGTCATATGCAGCTGTACGGCTTTTCTTTTGGAGTTATACCTAAATTATATATAAAATAATAGTATAATACCCGTCAATTTTTAAACCTTACTGCGAACTGTATGTTTAGTTAATCGAGGTACGAATCGAATTCTGTAATCGCTGACTTTTTGTTGCTCAAAATTCGCTCGAAATGTGAAATATTGCTCAAATGTTGCCCAAAGTGCGAAAAAGTGCTCAACGTTGCTCAACATGCAAAATGGTGCTCCAAACAAAAAAAAGTGCTCAAAAAGTGCTCAGCGCAATCGGGAAAGGCCTAGTCTCTCTGTACCTTAGTTGGTTAGAGCGCTGCACAGAATCGCAAAGCCGCAGGTTCAATTCCTGCCAGAGGCCAATAGTTTCATTTGAGAGATGATAGATAGCAACAGTTCCTGGTTAGGCGTAAAAAAATACCTGTGGTTCCGGTTCCCGGCCGACCCTATTTTTTTCTGCCGACCCTATTATTTTTTCAACGCGATTGACCGTGCGACCCTATTTTCTCCGGGTAGTTGCGGGCTGTTCATACAGCGTGCCAAAATGGCGTCTGTTGTCACAATAATTATTGAACCAAATTGCCTAAATTCGTCCATAGGAAATACGCATCTCAAGTTAATATTGATATCGGGACTCTACTGCAAATCGCCCAGCAAAAAACCGCCAAAACCATGAAAAAAATATTAAAAAAAAAATAATTTCCAACCTAACGACCCTAATTTTTTCACGATAAGAAACCGGAACCACAGGTATGCCAATGTACGGTGATGCCAATGTACGTTGTTGGGATAAATATCAGGATATTTTGGGTAAATCCATTTACCAAGTCAAATCCGAGTCCGAGTCAAGTCCGAGTCAAACGTCCGAGTCACGTAAAAAAGACGAAATTGAATTAAATTCACAATCGAATAGGGGTAGGGTTAGGGAACTAAGGCCAAATAAAGAAAAAACTTGGTTAGCGTCACCGCCCGCCTCTCGATTTCTGCCGCCTCTGAATTTTTTTAAATAGTTTTTTTATGTAAATCTCTTCGTTTTACAGTTTAAAACAGTTTAATATTTGATTTTTCTCATACTCAGACCTTCGCGCTATATACTGATCGATAGGAGCGCTTGGTCTTAGGTATACAAGGTTCTTATAGCAAAATCAATGGCGGCCTTCGCAACATCAGTACAAAAAATATCACCGATATGGTGGAAAAACCGCCCCCATCCCCCCAAAAAAATACTATTAAAAAATTAAAAAACGAGTAAAAATAAAAAAAAACCAAAAAAAAACACGACCTCCCACCTCTGAAAATTTGTGAGTGTGACGCAAACCAAGTACTTTTTTTATTTGGCCTAAGTCATTGAACTACAAAGACCGCTAAACAGTGACTCGGACATTTGACTCGGGCTCGGATTTGACGCAGTTAACCGACAAACTCAAGGATTTTTTGGATAGAAAGTTCGAGTGGATTTTTTTTTATCAAGTACAAACATCACTTCGTTTACATTTCCATGCAACTGTTGTGTGACCTTTACTGAACCTCGTGGGAAAAAGGCACGAACTGGTTGACGTCCAATGACGGTGGGATCTCGCTTAGGCGGGCCAGCTCGGTTCCCATATAAACGCAAAATGAAATTTATTGCGAAATAAGAACAAAGGCGGAATCTCGCCCAAGCTGGGGTACCCGGACTGGCTCACCCGATATAAACACAACCCCTAAGTTCGGCAAGTTTTGATTAGGTTCGGCAAGTTTTGATTAGGTTCGGCAAGTTTTGATTAGGATCGGCAAGTTTTGATTAGGTTCGGCAAGTTTTGATTAGGTTCGGCAAGTTTTGATTAGGTTCGGCAAGTTTTGATTAGGATCGGCAAGTTTTGATTAGGTTCGGCAAGTTTTGATTAGGTTCGGCAAGTTTTGATTTTTGGTTCGACAACGGCACAAAATACGGCAAGCCATGTCGTATTATTATGCGACACGGTTCGACATGGGTTTAGACACCGTGCGTTTCTGCATACATTTGCATGCATTTTAGCATGGAAATTTCTGATGTCGTGTACTTGTTTTTTGGCACGCTACAATTAAATCCGACGTCTGACATTTGAACTGAAATCAGTAGCGTAACAGAGAAAAGGGGGGCGCCCTTAGGCATATTTGGTGTGGGGGCCCCTGTTGAATGATGTCATTGTTTGACTGCATGAGATATTATATTTATATTGAATATTTATAGAATGTTCTCGAAAATTCCGTGTCTATAACAATGACAGTAACAGTCTCCAAAACATGTAACAACTATTAAAGGCTGCTCTCCAGTTAAGCGTTTTTCATACGCACGTAAAAGTTTAAATCTTTTTAAATTTTATTTATGAAATGACTAATTGAATAAAAGGAAAGAATTTAGTTTTCTGTGTCATTTAATATGCATTTGCTGAGGTAATTAGTACTTGTATAAAATTTACAAAGATTTTACGTGCGTATACGCACGTATGAAAAACGCTTAACTGGAGAGCAGCCTTAAGATTAATTTTTTTTACGTTTTCTAATTTTCTGGGCGATAAGCCGTGGCTGATGGGGGCCCCTAACTGTCGGGGGCCCTTAGTTTTTGAACTAACGGCCCCACCCAATGAGCGTTACGCCACTGACTGAAATTATTTTCGGGTATAGGTCCCTTAGTTTTGAAAACGGGTGTAACTATTAATTTAAACTTCTTTTCAGTCATTAGGCCCACGTTAGAGTTCCGTAACTATAGCGTTATATAGAGAACGAAAATGACGTATCCTGCTCAGAAGTATTTCGAGAACTTTTATGCGTACTTTCTGCTGTCATATAGACATAGTGTAAAATTAGTTGTAATTAACGTACGGGGTTTACATTATAATAGTTTTGTTTGTGGAAACACCACGTACCTACCTTGTTGGGACTTCGAGCCCGTTTGCCAATCCCTTATCTAACTCGCCTTTTACTGTTTGTAATGTCTACTACTCTTGTTTTAACGTGGTATTGTAAATTCAGGGATTATTTTAAGGTGCAGTGATAACCAATCTGTGCAGTGATAAATGGGATTTGTGCAGTGATAAATGAGATTTTGTGCAGTACTGATTTTCTTTAATATTTAACTATTGCTCGTTTGCAATCGACGCCATATTGGTTGATTTTCAAAATATACGTGGTGACTATAAAATTCATATTCTTCATTCTTTGTCGTATTGAGCCAAAGACCGTAAACTATCCACAATACAGTAACATGTTTTCAAAACAAACCAGAAAATGTTAAATTAACTCAACTACTTCGCTATAAACGGCTTTAATAACGAAAGTTTAAAATCAACCAAGATGGCGCCTAATGACTCGTAGTGACGTCATGTGCGAGCAAAGAATAGAGTATAGGTGATATTAATTCGTGAAAGGAGTGTATAATTTATCACAGATTATGTTTAAATTGTTCAAAAGCACGATAAGCACAAGGAAGACAATAAGTTATGCCGGTTTTCACTTAAACATTTTCAAATTTTATATCGAATTTTAGAAATCAACCTCTGGAGGCTAAAAAGTAAGAAAATGTTCTGGATAAGGATCCCCATGCAGTTCTCCCCAAAAGTTCTGTCTTTTGCAATTCACCCAGTTGGGTCCCTTTTCTTAGGTTCCATTTACAAATTCGTAAATTTTCCTGTTTTGGATTTCCCATGCAGTACAGCACTGAACAATGTATAATCTAGAGTCAGAGCTGCACTAAGCGCTCCTTCGCCATGTGACATGCTGTTATTTATGTTTTTTTGTTTGTGCAGTTATATTATTTCTTTAAAATAATCCCTGTGTAAATGTTCGCGAGTTCGATTAAAGCTACTTCTTATCCACGCTTATGCGAATGCCTGGGGCCGGTTGTATAAAAAAGTGATTAAAGTTAACTATAATTATGTGGAAACGTCATCCAATAAGAAGCGCCTATTAGAGAGTTAATCACTATTTAACTACAAAATAGTGATATTCAGGAGTTTTATACAACCGGCCCCTTCAATCTACAGTAGTGTGCTTGATAGCTCACAAAAAGGAAAATCGATGAAAAGTTGACCTTGAAGGATAAACACTCACACAGTGACAAGCACTTCTCGACATATTCAAGAGTTCTGCGTAGTAACTGTGACGGTGGTTTGAAAATCGAATATTCTAACATTGAAGACAGTTTTCAATCCAATGCAGCTAGAGTTTTTAATAGTCTTCCAGAACATTTGAAACTAATGGATTTTAAAAATTATAAGATTACTCTTAAAAGAATTTTATTAGATCAGGGTAGAGAAAGGATTGATAAGGATTGATTAATTTTCTCACATAACCTGATTTTAACTATTTGAATTTATTTATAAGACAGTTGTAAAAATTTAGAAATAGTTAGCTTTTTTAAATGTACGGATGAAGAGCCATGCAATATGGATATGCCAAATTAAATCATTATTATCATTATTATTATTATTATTATTGTAAGTTTAAGTTGCTATATGTGAATATTCCCACAGTTTTTGCCGGTATAAACTGTAAATGTCATTATAGTGTGCCAGTGCGGGTAGGGTCAATAATATGAACAAGCTTTATTTCGTTGGTGGGTATGCAGCTACCTCCATCCCTACCAAAGAAAGCTTGTTCAAAAATTATTGGCTTAAACGTAATGTTGCTATATACTCAATTAGCAGGAAATTACGTTTTCATGGCTAAAATGCCTTGTCATCTCAGAGTTCAATGATACGGCAACATGTCGTTTCCGTTAATACATAGGCACTCAAAAAAACAAACAAGAGGACACTCCTGGTTACATTATACTTTCAACTCTTAACTCCGAAGACTATTTTCCATATAGGAATGGCAAAGAATGATCTTGTTCTTAGCATATACCAAATTGTTTGCATTTGGTTTCTATAACGATACGTCAGCCGGCCTTGCGAGTGACATCACACTACACATAATTTGACATAATTGCATAGGAGGCCCAATAGTTAGTGGAAAGAAGCACAAAAATGACTTAAAATAGTTTAAAATTCAATAAAATTTCATTGTGTTACCGTGAAAATATTCTACCGACTGTTTTTCAAAAACAGTTGCATGGTAGAATATTTGCACTTGGTAGAATATTTTCACGGTAACACAGTAAAATTTTATTGAATTTTAAACTATTTTAGTCAATTTTGTGCCTATTACCACTAACTATTGGGCCTCCTATGATAATTGTTTGACTTCCGCCATTTTGGATGGCAAATGTTTAGTAGAGCTAAATAAAAACATACACAGCGTCCATTACTCATTAGCCATCAAAATTTCACAGCTCTATTTCAGTAGAGCTCCAGTTTATGGCGTTTATTTACCTTGCTTATATAATACGAATTCAGAACAGCAATTTTTTGGCAATTCAGACAGTGGTTTCATTCGCTGTCCGTTATACTGTATTTGCCACACAAAATCGAGTGATTCTCACCATGACGTAATATTCTTGTGTGACTGCAAGATCTATATATAGTATATCTCACTTCGTTTTTTTAAGAAAATCACACTAAAACTTCATGATCAATATTAATGGGGCATTTGTCATCAAAATTTTTATTTTTTTAAACGAAAATAAAATGCTCTACCATGTGTCGTCATTTACTCGATTACATATATAATGAGATATCAGTAATTGTTGTGAATCTTTGCTATTTTTGATGGATTTGTTTTAAAAAAACAGTATGCTTAATGATGTAGGTTAAATTAACAAACGTACCGCATCTTTCGAAAGATTTTGATAAAAAATAGCAAAGATACAAAACAATTACTGATATCTCATTATATATGTAATTGAGTAAATGACGTCACATGGTTACAAACAAAATGAAATATCTCAAGAGCTAAGCATGGGAACAAAAATCTTCAAAGAAGTTATTATACAGTTTTAAGAGCATTTTCGTTTACGAAGATAAAAATTTTGATGACTGTGGGTTTTATCTTCTAGACTCGAGATATACGCCTTATTGAAAACAAGACACGAAATTCAAGCGATAGATTTCGACTTAGGCGATTGTTTTTTTCTCTAAACATTCAGTTGAAATGAAAGTGTCTGCTGTGGTAAAGGACTTTAATTTACTGTAATTTTCAGACGAATCAAAAGCATATATTATGAATTTTAAAATCTTTAAAAGTACTTTTAAATCTTCAAGGGAATAAGGGTAAAAGGTGTTCACCAGAATTGGTTCAAAAATTCAAATATCAATCCTGGTGGCCAGAATACCGACTTTCGTTTCCTTTTAAGATTATAGTAAAAAAATTTCGCCTAGAAAAAGTTTTTTATGAGCTCGAGATTAAAATAGAAACGTTGTATTATATTAACCATCTGGAAAATTATGTCAAATAATATGATTATTCATTGTAACATCAGAAAGAAACATAATCAATGCTATTTAATCATTATGCTCACAAGGAAATACATTTTATTATAAAACTTGACATAATTTGTTACTTTAATCCATAATCAGTACTTATATTTGTCATTATCATTGATTAATGGCTTATCCGTTAAATCAATATTAATACGCCAAGCTCTCCTTTGTCAGAACGTTAACGATATGAGTTTTCTGTTATTTTAAACATTTTTCTACCGGGTGGCGCAAAAAAAAGTTCAGGCGTTTGCTTTACTATAGTGAAAAAACTATAAGAGCTACGTCGCTCAAATAAACGTATAGCTGTATTCATAAAAGGGCTAACTTAAATTTTGATAGGTAATGCACACGATTTCATTAAATATTTACCAAGATATCAGCGTTTAAATTTGGGTAAGCACTTTCGCAAGTTTTGAAAATTAGCAAAAACGGCCTATTAAGTATTCGTTCATCAATGAACTGCATTTAGGCGAACTACATTCAGAATCCGTTTTACTGAACTACATTCAGAATCCGTTTTATTGTTATGTTGCCGCATGCAACCGTCTTGCTCCTGAAATCATGCAGTCGAATTGAAGGAATCTTGAATCATTTACTGCTCCAAGTTGCGGCATGCTAAAACAACGCTTCACGGTCTTCACGCGAAGCTGTCTCAAATTGGTTGGTTGCTAATCGATGTGGCATACTCCAAATTTGATATTTCAACTAGCCACAAAGAAAGAAATTGAACACTGTCAAATCGGAAAGCGAGGGGCACGCCTTATCTCCGGATTTACTCATCACTAGCTCGCCCAGGAAATAACTGGCGATGCTTTGCGTAATAAAATTAGTTCAATAGGCCTTTTTTGATTAATTTTCGACTCTTTTAAAAATGCTTACGCAAGTTGAAACGCTGATATCTCAGTCAATATTTCGTCAAATCTCACGTATGACCTATCAACATTTAAGTTAGCCTTTTACGAATACAGCTACTTTCATTTGAGCGACGTAGCTCTTATAGTTTTTTCGCTATGGTAAAGCAAATGTCTGAACATTTTTTTGCGCCACCCGGTACAATAAAGCTAATAAAAAGAACGAAACACATTGCAAAAATGCAACTATGCAAGCAGTTTAGGTGTCTATTAATTTCTTGAAACTCATATCAAAACTCAAAAGGATGAAAGTTACTTTAAGTGTATGCTATATTGTACAAGTAGTCGAATATTCTCGCTTTCAGCTTAAACAGAGAGTTTTTTCATTGAAATTATTAAGAACAGGATATACGGAAATTCTTTTGACAATGAGCAAGACAGATCACACTATATAAAGGCCAATCTTTTCGCATCTTGCAGACATACAAGTCAAATGTAGAAGAGAATAAGTGTGAATCAACATAACTGGCATGCAATCATGTTCCATGGAAATTTAACCAGTTTCTTACAACGTTTTGCTTGTATATTCTTGTACTGTGTTCTGATACAAAGCGCTGAACTACCACAGCAAAAAGTCACTCCTAATTTAAACTTCAACAAAACTGAAGAAGAACACGGTAGAAATACGACAAGTTATGAACTACAAGTTGTGACATTAATTGGTCTCAGTGTCTCAATAATTTGCCATATATTACTTTTGCTCACTTATGGATTTTTTCAAGAATTGAGAAATGTTTCGGGATCGAATTTAATGAACTTAAGTTCTTCAATGTGTCTGTCACAAATCTTATGGTTAATAGGAAACCCTCGTTTTGAAGGAACAATAGTTTGCGAAGTCATTGCAATCTTTCAACACTTACTTATGCAAGCATCATTTTTGGCTATGTCCGTTATTTCATGGCATAACTATCACGTTTTCTCACAACCTTTTGCTGGAAGAATTGCCAACAAAGCTCGGTCTAAATCTATCAAATATTCAGCGTTCATTTGGATAATTCCAGCCATATTTGTCGCAATTAGTGTAATCCTAGACAAAACTGAAACGTTCCTCGTGGACTATGGACCAAACTGTTGGTTGGGAACTGCAAACGCTAGGCTGTATTTATTTTTATTACCCCTCGCTATGAAATTACTCTTTTCCATCTACAAATTTATCCAAACAGCGGTCTGTTTATCTCGTCAAGACAAGGACAGAAGAACCGTACTTCACAAGGAAGGAAAACAAAATCTTCTCGTCTGCACAAAACTTGCAACGTTGGTTGGTTTTCCCTGGGTGTTTTCGTTCTTTGGCGTGCTGTTTCCCGACGTAGAAGCATTAGAATATTTGTTTATTGTTTGTGTTTGTATACAGGGAGTGTGCATTGCGCTAGTATTTTTGTTTAACAAGAAAATTCTGAAACTTTATAAAGATTGGTGGAATAACAGCAGAAAAATTGATATTGGACCAACACAAAATCAGATGGTAATAGCAACAATACCACAAACAAGACCAACATTTTATTTGCCTTAAATATCTTCCTGTCATGTTGATTTGCTATTAATTGGTGGACGTTTAGTTACTAACTGTGTGTATGGTGCTATGTGCTCCGTCACTCATTTCCCACCCCCCAAGTGCAAATGCTGAAAATCTGCCTATATATGATGCCCACCCTTTGGGCTGACTCGGTAAACTGGGCGGATTCTGAAAATCATGATGACCCAGCAAACCAGGCTGACTCGGTAACAGGGCTGACCTGCAAGCATGCAGCAAAATCTCGTCATGTATACTTTCTTTACTTTATATGTTTTCGAGATTTGATTGAATGGGAACTGGGCTCACATTTGAGAGAGGTGAGGTCTCGCCTTCAAACGCTCTTGGCAGGCCAGCCTAGCAAACCATGCTGGAAATTGTGTCACAATACATGCTTTATTTACCTAGAAAGCATCTAAAAATTCAAAACAACATAGGAACCAACAGAAAATTAGACTTCTGAAGCAGTTTGCAAAATAAAGCTAATATCGTGTTCCTGCCAGAAATTTTTATAGCACAAATTACCAGTCTAGCCCGCTTTAGGTGAAACAAACAACTTGGGCCGGTAAAGCGTGCAAGGCACCGTTACCGGGGCCAGTCCGGCTCATATGAACAGGCCCTTATAATTAATTAATTACTGTCACTAAATCATTATATGAATTACTCTAATTGTCCCTGTGTTCATTTTGTTAAGCTTCATTACGGGCTAATTTCCACTCAGGAAAATTTTCCACAGGAGCGGACGGCGTTGGAACTAACGACTATGTAACTTTCCTTTCCGTTCCTATCCAGTGGAGGGTTTTTCTGGGTGCAAACTGGCCTTTTTATTTATTTATTTATATTTGTTTTGTTTATATTTATGTTTACTAAAGTCGTGTTTACACTGCAAGCCTTGGCCTGGACTGGCCTTGGCCAGACCAAGGTAAATGTGGCGCGTTTACACCATTACACTGGCATTTTGAGACTGGCCCACTTTGGCCTAGAATTTTGCAATTAATTTTGTGTATTTTTATGTGTTGTCCGCTGAGCTCTCACTGCGAGCACACGTAACCATGGAAATAAGGCCCAGGCCAGGCCCGAAAGTGTTTACATTTCCACAAGCCTACGTCTAGGCCAGGCCTAGGCCCTCGGTTGTGGCGATCCCAGATTTCCTGGTCTAGGTCAGGCCAAGGCTAGGCGAAGGTCTGTTTACACTGTCAAAATGTAGGCTAGGCCAAGGCTATTGCCAAGGCTAGTTAGTAGTGTAAACACGACTTAAGGTTCTCATTTACAAACTCCTAAATTTTCCTGTTTTGGATTTCCCATGCAGTACAGCACTGAATAATGTACAATCTAGAGAGCTGTGCTAAGCGCTCCTTCGCTATGTGAAATGCTGCAATTCTATGTTTTTTGTTTGTGCAGTTATAATATTTCGTTAATAATCCCTGTGTAAATTTTAGTGAGTTACTAAAGCTACTTATCATACACGCTTATTTGAATGCCTGCAATCTCGTGAGCTTCATAGTTCACAAAAAGGGAAATGGATGAAAATTGCCTTGAAGGATAAACACCCACACAGTGACAAGCACTTCTCGGGACATGGGCGATGCAAGTTTTAGTTGCTAAGTGAAAATTCCCACAGTTTTTGCCGGTATAAACTGTAAATATCATTATCGCCTATTGGCTCAAACTTAATGTTGCCATACTCATTTAGCGGGAAATCACGTTTACATGAGTGGCTAAAAAGCCATGTCATAGTCTCTGCCCCTTTATATCAACATCCCGCCAACTCAGCGTTCAATGATACGGCAATATCTCGTTTCCGTCAAGACATGTAGGCACTCCTCATGATACTTCTATTTTCCATATAAGAAAGGCAAAGATTGACCTTGTGCTCAGCATATATCAAGTTGTATCATAGTTAAAGGCACAGTTCAGCCTTTTGAACGATGGTTTTTAAGGCGCATTTCAGCCCTTTTAATTGAAAAAACTAACTAGGAAAATCAATTAAGTATAATTCAAAATCAGTAAACTCGATGTTTTGAACAATAAAAATGTTTTAAAATGTTGAAAACATTGAGTTTGGTGATCTTGAATTATGCTTAATTGATTTTCCTAGTTAGTTTTTTCAATTAAAAGAGCTGAAATGCGCCTTAAAAACCATCGTTCAACAGGCTGAACTGTGCCTTTAACAGCAACAACGTTACAACACGTAATTTGACATAATTACACAGCATTACAGCAGAACAGCAATTTTTTGGCAATTCAGACAGTCGTTTCCTTTGCTGCCGTTATATTAGTGCCACCCAAAATCGAGCGATTTCTTCTCAGCATCACGTAATACTCCGTGTGACTGCAATATCTGTATTATATAGTACATCTCACTTTAGTTTTTGTTTACTGAGAAAATCACAGTAAAACTTCATTATATATATATATATATATATATATATATATATATATATATATATATATATATATATATATATATATATATATATATATATATATATATATAATTACTATTCTTACTTAAAAAAAAACATTTTAAGTAAGAATAGTAATTACATTCGCTCTACAAAATTTTATGTATTGAGCACTCTCTTCACTATACGTTACAAAACTTGTGATATATATATATATATATATATATATATATATATATATATATATATATATATATATATATATATATATATATATATATATATATATATATATATATATATATATATATATATATATATAATATATATATATATATATATATATATATATATATATATATATATATAGTGTTGGGAGTGTCACCAGAAAAAAAAAACGAACAAATTATCTAAACACATGTCGATTGATGTGTGTTGCACAGCTGAGCAAGAGTGCTGAGTGCTCTGAATGCAGTCTTAGTTTCAATCAAGGCTCTCGTAAACGAAGCACTCAGAGCAATCCCTAATTTGTTTGAGTCTATGACGTAGGCTACAATCCCTTAGTCCCCGCTAGATATTTCCTTGAGAGCTCACGTTTATTGTCAGCTCACGTCACACCCAGAAAAATCATAAATATTGTAATCTCCCTCATTTTATGAATCACACCTCATGGCAGGCCTGCATAGTAGCATACATATAAAACTGTTTACTTTACTATAATGAGCAGAGGACATTTTAAGAAACTCGTTGACAAGTATAATGACTCCATCTGGTGGAAAATAAACGGCGATAAGAACCCGGAGAGCAGAGGTTGAAAATTTTTTTCTCTCTGGGAACCTGGGTCGAAGGCGAGAAATTTTCTGTGAAATTTGCAATATTACAATTACAAAAATAACAAAACAAATGCATATAATTATTGTATTATTTGTATTTTAGTAATAATAGGCTTTAGGCTGGTTTTCGTATGCTCGTACATCGCAATAGTTGTCTGTTATACACCACAGTTATGAGTTATGACCAACTAGTAAGGATCTAACGCTTAACTAAGTGTCTTTTCATCTTATTTATTCCATTACTTTTATTTGTTTACTATTTAATTTGCATTTTATTGGAGACTTTGCAGAGCATATATTCACCATTTTACCTCATTGTGATGGCAGGGGTGGGTAAAAGAATGAATTTCTGTGAAATATTTAAAAGCTGCTGATGTTAGCATGTACAGTGTAAATAAAGTAGAATAGTTGTAACTTGAGTAAACAGAGTTATCTCAAAATGTTGAAATAAATTTTCTGCAAAACTGTCAACTCCCAGGTTCCGATACTTTTTCCACCCCTGCCGGAGAGACGGAACTTTTGTCGAGAGAAACATTTGCATCTCGTGAAAACGTTTTCGTGTGGACAAAGCGTCAAACTGACAAAATTGGAAACGATCATTTAGAAACGTTTGGAAACGTTACCGTGTGCACATACAGTAGTCTTAAGCTACGTTTACACGCTGCGATTAATCGTGTACGATTAGTTTTCTGGCGTATGTCATTGAGTGAACACGCGTAAGCTGGCTACATTTGAAATCTCTGAAATCGCCAATGAATTATGGCGCCAGCACTCATTTTAATACGTCAGAATACGAATCGTACACGATTAATCGTAGCGTGTAATCGTAGCTACGTTTACACGCTGCGATTTGTCGGGCCGATTTTGGTAAATAATCGTTGCCCCTTCTTCGACATTTAGCGATTTAAACGTTCAATTGAAGCTGTCCGCTCTCTCGTCTGTTTATATTATAGTTTTCTGCGTGAGAAAAGTTTTCAATAATTTTACAACGAAAAAAAATATCGTTGAATCGTGAGAAAAATCTGTGCTTTGTTACAGATTTTTCTCCCGATTTTGTGAATCGCAAGGTGCTGACGCGAGTACTCACGACAGGTTATTTACATACAGCGAGCAAAATCGGCCCGACAAATCGCAGCGTGTAAACGTACCTTTAGACTCCTTTGCTGACGCGTACTATACAATTTAGTGATCGCGGCATCTTTCCTAATTACTGCTTGATGCGGCAAATAGTGCAACTTATCGCTTGGCTTTTCTAACGCTGCTACCGGTTCTATTACTGGGGTTAGGGTAAAACGCGGATGCGGACGGATAGACGGCAGACGAATGGACGGATGAGGGTAAAATGCGGACGGACGGATGAAAGGGTAAAATGCGGACGGATGAGAGGGTAAAATGCGGACGGATAAGAGGGTAAAATGCAGACGGAAGGAAGGGTAAAAGGCGGACGGATGGGGGGGGGGGGGTAAAATGCGGACGGACGGATAAAGGCCATTTATCCGTCTGTCCGGATAATCCTTAATTATCGCGTCATAATCTGCCAACACTTCAAGATCTTTGCGCAATTTCCTTACTTGGTTTTGTATGCGAGCTAAAAGGGTTCGTGACCCTGCTTCCATGGCAACTTTACCGAATAAACCATCTTTAAAACCTACTTCATTCTCAAACGTTTCATGCACCTCATCATTTGCTCTAATACCAATCGAATCCCACAGTCTTCTTACTTCAATTACTATTCACTACTTTGCTCTTTACTATTCTACTTCTGAAACCTGCTGTCATGCTTACGCGCAATTAATGTCAATTGTCAGCTTAACTTAAAACAATATTTAATCTATCACGTTTCGCGGTCGCTGTACACACATCGCGCTTAATTACTCCGGAAGTAGAAGTTCCTTTACTAATCTTTAAGTGTATGCTATGTTGTACAGGTAGTCGAGTATTCTCGCTTTCAACTTAAACCGAGAGATTTTTTCATTTTGACAAGGGGCAAGACAAACCATGCTATATAAAAAGTCGAATGTAGAAGAGAATAAAGTGTGCGTCAACATATTAACTGGCATGCAATCATGTTCCATGGAAATTTAACCAGTTTCTTACAACGTTTTGCTTGTATTTTCTTATACTGTGTTCTGATACAAAGCGCTGAACTGCCACAGCGAAAAGTCACTCCTAATTTAAACTCCAACAAAACTGAAGAAGAACACGGTAGAAGTGCGACAAGTCATGAACTACAAGTTTTGACATTAATTGGTCTCAGTGTCTCAATAGTATGCCATATATTACTTTTGCTCACTTATGGATTTTTTCAAGAATTGAGAAATGTTTCGGGATCGAATTTAATGAACTTAAGTTTTTCAATGTGTCTGTCACAAATCTTAAGGTTGGTAGGAAACCCTCGTTTTGAAGGAACAATAGTTTGCGAAGTCATTGCAATCTTTCAACACCTACTTATGGAAGCATCATTTTTGGCTATGTCCGTCATTTCATGGCATAACTATCACGTTTTCTCACAACCTTTTGCTGGAAGAATTGCCAACAGAGCAAGGTCTAAATCTATCAAATATTCAGCGTTTATTTGGATAATTCCAGCCATATTTGTCGCAATTAGTGTAATCCTAGACAAAACTGAAACGTTCCTCGTGGACTATGGACCAAACTGTTGGTTGGGAACTGCAAACGCTAGGCTGTATTTATTTTTATTACCCCTCGCTATGAAATTACTCTTTTCCATCTACAAATTTATCCAAACAGCGGTCTGTTTATCTCGTCAAGACAAGGACAGAAGAACCGTACTTCACAAGGAAGGAAAACAAAATCTTCTCGTCTGCACAAAACTTGCAACGTTGGTTGGTTTTCCCTGGGTGTTTTCGTTCTTTGGCGTGCTGTTTCCCGACGTAGAAGCATTAGAATATTTGTTTATTGTTTGTGTTTGTATACAGGGAGTGTGCATTGCGCTAGTATTTTTGTTTAACAAGAAAATTCTGAAACTTTATAAAGATTGGTGGAATAACAAGAGAAAAATTGACATTGGACCAACACAAAATCAGATGGTAATAGCAACAATACCACAAACAAGACCAACATTTCATTTGCCTTAAATATCTTCCTGTTATGTTGTTTTTCTATTAATTGGTCAGCGGTGCTATGTGCGCTGTCGCTCACCTCCCCCCCCCCCCCCGCCAAATACAAATCTGAAAATCTGTCTATGATGCCCACTCTTTGGGCTGACTCGGTAAACTGGGCTGACTCTGAAAACCATGATGACTCAGCAAACCAGGATGACTCAGTAACAGGGCTGACGTACAAGCAGCAATATCTCGCCTTGTATATTTTCTTTACTTTATATATTTTTGAGACTTGATTCAAAAGGGAACCGAGGGCCAGCCCAGTTTGCCGGGCTCATGCCTGAGCGAGACAAAGGACCAGCCCAGCAAACCATGCTAGAAATTGTGTCACAATATGTACATGCTTTATTTGCCTGGAATTAAACATCTAAAAATTCAAAACAACTAAGGAATCAACAAAAAATTAGACTTCTGAAGCAATTTGCAAAATAAAGCTGAATAAATACAGATATAATTATGTTCCTGCCAAAAATTGCACAGAAATTTCTATAGCACTTGCCGGTACTTGCCGGTCTGGCCCGCCTCATGTGAAACAAAGAAAAAAGTGAGCAAGCCTGGTTTACCGGGGGCCAGTCCGGCTCATATGAATAGGCCCTTATTTAATTAATGACGGTCACTAAATCATGATTATGAATTATAGGACTAATTACGGTATGGCTAACTCTGCATGTGACATTGCAATACGCGGGGTCATCATATTTTGTGTAGTTAGCAAGTCGGAATAAATATTAATTGTGTTAATTGTAAAATAAATATATATGTATTATATTATGATATTTTCTGTAAATAGTTTCTTCTTTTGTTTCTTTTTGACAGATTGAACTGTATACGTTCTCCTCTGGGGACTTTTAAATAAAAGCCCTTCAGGGTTTCGTTTAATCACGTATTTTCATAATATGTAAATAATTGTTCTTAAACAAATTATGGGCAAATAATAATAATAATACTTGATTATTCAAAAAAGCTTTTTTGAGTTATTTTGAACAGAATAAATATTTTCTGTTTATTATTTGTCAGACCAGCAGCTGAGCTAATCTAATATTCTTAAGGTTACATTATATGATGAAAACACTGATTTCATCATTTTTTACATTTTTATTGATTTATATTCAGGGACTGGAGATCTATCGATTGCCGGAAGTTTTTTTCAAAAATATTAAAATGCGTCCGAAATATAACAAAAAATGTTATAACCACTGATTCCTTTGCCGCGAAAGTTGTAATTGTAATTGACAATATGTGGCTTGATGTGATACTCGATACCGGATGTGTGACCTTCAACCTCGCTTGTGTCTTCGTGGTTCACGACAGATCTTCAACTGTATTTTCGTTTGGCCGATTTAGATCGGTCTGTATAGCTATCCCTTTTTTACATTTGCGTTTCGTCGGCATATTAGCAAGTTTTTTCGCGTGGTTTCTCGCATGTACTGTTTGTGATAAACTGATGATGAGTGAATGACACCGAAAACCCTTGCCAAAACACACTTTACTAATTTTAATCCGATTGTAGTTGGAAGTGATAACAGAGAGCGGAAAAACCCCGCCAAACCTAATATCGTCTTTTACGGAGATTGAAATATTCTCAGATTGTCCCCACAAAAATTGTTTAGAAACGCGCACGTTTTATCCGATTCTCTTCAAACTTTGCCACAATGTTGAACAATAGTACAGCAGCAAAACCGTGTTCGCGTTTTTTATTTAGTGCCATACTTTTCAAGTTATAGGCATCTATTCTGCCGTTCTCCCAAAATTTAGATGAGTCAACTTCTCTGCTTTATATCAAAGCAAATATAATACCTGTCAAAAAACGCGACCACGGTTTTGTTCTTTGATCATTTGAGATGGGAAATATTATGTTTCGGAAGCCTTTGAGGTAAATCAGAAGCGTTCTAATCTCGTGGCGCAAAGGCCGTCATATTTTCAAAAGCAACCCGTAGCAAGTACAGTTTTTAAAGGTGTAGAATTTTTGGCAAATCTTTAGCTACAGCAATGATTTATCATTATGCATGCAAAATTTGAAGGGGGAAACTTGAAAATTGAGCGCGCGGTGAGCATTTTGGTGAAATGGGTTTCCATCATGTGGAGTAACCTTAATGAATTAGCCGGTTATTATAATATGAAATCGTCTTACCTAAAGAAGATTCTTTTTCAAGCAATACAAGTTTCATCCCTGGATAGCGCAACATGAGTTCTCGTGCTGTTGCCAGACCAACAATACCACCTCCCACTATTGCCAAATCATAGAAATTGCTCTCTTTTGTTTGCACGGTTGTAGACCTACGTACCCCACAAAAATAAGATTTATCAATGCAGTCAAGAGGGCCTTTATGATCTTGTCACAACTAAACAGAAGTGTTTGTTATATGTTTCTGTCTGAGTTTATGATAATTTGTACACAATCACTTCATCACGGTATTAAGTTCATTGTGTTTTCGTATAATTAAGTAACCGTCCAATTAGAATAGCTGAGATGAAATGTGCAGCCACGATGAATAATATTTAATGAAGTTGACAGAAACGATTTGTGCACGGTGAGGTACAGTTCAACATCAAACAAAGGTCTTCTATTTTGTGGTTTTGAAGTTTACCAGGATTCCAGACCGATCATATCTAGTTACTTTCCCAACCCTTAAATCATAGTCTATTATGGGGAGAAATTATATTTGCAAAAAGAGTGTGGTCCCTGGGTGTGGCCACTTAGACAATGGGTTATTCCAGAAAACATTGACATGCACCTCCCCCATGATGGAAATTGTAATTTAACTCCCCTACCCCCTTTGGATGTCCTATTCACTTACTATTATCAGAAACTATTTTTCTTCCCTCCCTTTTCAGATGACAGAAATTTTCCTCCATGGGGGAGTGTGGATCTTTTCTGCAATGAACCAATACCTTCAACAATTTCCTTTTTCGCTAGCAACTGCTAACAATTATATTGCAAAAAAATACTGGGGGGGGGGGATATTAAATTTTGACATTTTCAAATGACCGGTCAACAGATTAATGCTGAAATCTATTATAGATGCTGAAATATTTAATAACAATCAATATAAATGGCATGCCATCCCAAGTTCATGTATAAAATATAAAAAATATTTTTTGATACTTTAATGATACTCACAATGCAGCATATTTGACATTCCAAATCGGGCCAAGAAAGGATTGATACCCTTTGCAAACCAGACTCTTGCTGTATAAATTCTTGATAGAATTTAGCATCATGACACCATATGACATTAATATGACTATAGGATATTCAATTTCATTTCATTGCCTTTTAATGGCTTTATGGCAGTAGCGGCGCAGCGCAAAAGCAATGCGCAAACTTTTGGTGATGTTTCTATAAACTATTAAACTCCACTACTCCAGTGCAGAGAGATTTAAGGAAATTTGAAGGAAAAGTCCAAGGAACACAAACTCTGACGAGATTCTAGCGAGGATTCTTGTGAAAATTTAAGAGGAAAGTACGATATTTCCGAGTTGCTTCTAGAGTAGAACTTCAGAATAATTATAATTTGTTCTAGAAATATATAAGGAGCATTCATGGAGCCCGAATTTCACATAAAAAATTTAAATAGAATTTTAGAGGAGAAAGGAAATGGTGGCAATCTGAAAGGAATACTGTTTTGTCAGAATGGAAACAGAGTAAATTAAGGAGTTCTCACACCCCCCTGCTGTTACGTGAAACAATATGTCGGATTCAAAACCCGAGTCAAAACCATCATTTGGTTTGCCAGAAAACTGGGATAAAATCCCAGAAGAAGAAAGGAAGTTGCTTCAGAAGCCTTTAATCTTTCCAAATAATGAAAAACTGTTCAGAAGATTCACTGTTGGTGCCACACTTGGTGAGCATGTTTTTGTCTCTTCAAGAAGAAAATTTGTAGTAAGGACAGGCAGGGGGGAGAGGGGGTTCCTACAAAGATGAAGCACCCCTTCCAGGTGTGGGGACAATATTGGATTTCATCCCAGACACAGAGTAGATACATATACAGAGATGTAACTAGTGTACCCACTTTTTTGTGCGCATGCTCGGCAAGTTACTAGATCAATGCATGCATCTGATTGGATGACAACCTGATGACGACTCACTTTAACTGCTCGTGGAACTTGCTGAGCATCCGCAGTTGATCATTTTTCACCCGGTTGCCTGAAAAAAAGTGGGTACATGAAAACGTAAGCTTCCGCAGTGTTTACGACGGTCAGTTACAGCTCTGTATGTCTCTACTCTGTGTCCCACTTGTTCAGCAATTGCTTTGAGCCTTTGACCAGCTTCCCCCTAAGCCCTCCTTTCTTTCACCCTACTCCCCTAACTGGAAATCATGGACCCTAAGTTTCCAGACTGGAAACTTTGTTACGTGCGCACAGAAGAATTTTATTTGGTAAAATTATGTACACCCAACACTTGTTTTTGTGCATGTAAAAACTTAATACCTTTATCTTTCACAGGCCATGTACACACTTGGCACTCGTGAAAATAGAATTTTGTGCACATGAATTTTTGCCTGCGCACGGAAGATCTGCAAAGTTTCCAGTCTGTCATAGCTTGGGCAATCTTTAGTTGCCAAACTGACTTTTTTTATTTTATAGCAATGACACTTTACATGGTCTTCTTTCATGAGTACAGATCTGAAAATCACTGTTTTCAGCCAGTAAGTTACAAAAAAATGTATATTGAAAAGTGTACAGTATGGTGTATATATACATTGCATTTTTCAATAAGTATATAAGTGATAACCGAAAGTGTATTATAATTAAATAATATGTATATATGGCATGTTTTTCTTCTTTAAGATTCGGCAGTGGGTGGCAAAGCAGAAAGAAAATTTCTTCATGTTGAGCCCTGAAGATTTGAAATATGTGGAAGACCACAAAGACGAATTAAAGAAACAATGAAAACAAAATGAAAGAGGGAATATAATGAACCAAACAAAAACCAGCATTACATATTCCACTCTTTAAATACCTAATACTGTACTGTACATAGGTTAATTGGCCCATGACCCGATCTCAAAAGGCCTGATTGAACCATCCTTAAACCTTCACCCCACCCCCCTCCCCTCCCCAGAAAGATCGAGATACAGATTATTTATATTTTAATTTTTTTTTATAATTTAGTTGTTTTCAATACAGCATATTATACACAAACAGAATAAACTTGAATCAATAATTGACATTTATTGAGTAACAATTATTACATTAATTAATTGAATGGTGGGAACCCTATTGATTAACCACCATTCGCATATTTATCTACATATTGTTATTTCTGAATGTTTTTACATGAAAACAAGACACATTTGTTCTCGGATGAGAGGAAGGATCTGCAGTTTTGGTAATATGTGGTTGGTAAAAGCTGCAAGTTGTGAAAATGGTGAATGATGTAAAAAATATACTTAAATATTACATGGTTTCATACTATTGTTCATTGTTCTATATGACAGTTGTGAATTTATTCAAAAATTATTCTATGAAATGTTGATTATTACTCCAAAATCATTTGATAAATCTAACATATACAATTGCCCCAACAATTACAAGTTCAACCAAAATTATTATTCCCATTATTAATTTGTTTGTTGCAACCCTAAAAAGAAAGTTTTAAAATGAGTGTCAAATTTTAAGAACCTCCCTGCAATGAAATGAATATTTTATTCATGCGACCAGGGTATATTACCTGAATGCCATACGGGTTAATATTTTCCTGCTTTGGTTCAAATCTTCATCGGTGTCATGCAACTAGAAAATGAATGGGCATTACATGTAAAGGTGAACAGAACTCGTGTTCTTGATATATACTGTATGGAAGAGTATACATGAGTCTATGATACACAAACTTGCAGATAGAGTTTGACAACTGGACCTACAGTATATAGGACCACAGATTCAATTCCTGCCAGAGAACCTATAGTTGCATGTTTCACAACTCTCCTGATTCGGTCTAATAAACATATAAAATTCACATTCGACATTTCCATCTACAAAACCCTTCTATGTAAATTAGTTCTATTGAGTCAGTGTACAGTCACAGAATACTATACAGAAGCCCATCTCCACTGTTTTTTGTGTAAGTCATAGCAAGTACCCTAAACAGAAGCAATCACCCCCTGGACATGTTCCATTTTGAGTATTTCCAGGGGGGGATGCTTCTGTTTACGTTACTTGCTGAGTGATGATGAATCATGACAAATAGCGCTTATGCAAAAACCAATGTAGATGGACTTCTGTATAGTATTCTGTGGTACAGTAGATGCCCAAAAACCTTGCAATTTTTTAGTCTCGCTCAATTCCTGATGAACGGCTTTCGCTCAAAACATAGAAGTTCTGCTGCAGGTAGTTGATCGATCTCTAACAATTCACAGTTTATGTTAACATACCCTATCCCGTGTTCTTATTAAAGAGTCTTTCTGTGTATCCAGTTCATCAATAATTTCGACACCAATTTGTTCTGTGAAATTTATGAAATATCAGTTTGAAAACATTCTAAACAACAGACAGAACTGACTGAAAACAATCGACTATTGTAAATGACTGCCTGCCTGACTTCCATAGGCTGCCTGAATGACCAATAGAGAGACCAGCCAATTGACTATATGACAAAATGTATACCTACAATGACTGCCAGGTGTTTATAGCCAGGGTGTTAAAACTGGCAGTCCAAAATGTACTATGAATGTGGTAACCTTGCAAATAGATAGCTTGAACACAGACCTTCGTTTTGCTCGCCCTAAAATTTGCGGGTGGGATGCTTAGGTCGACCTGTGAATTCTAGGGCAGGCGAAACGTAGGTCTGTTTTCAGGCTATAGCAAATAGCAATTAGCTTTAAAACTTTTCTTTCGTAGGCAATCTAAGGCCATTTATTAAAAAGTGGCGCTGTCTGAATTAGTGAATTCAGAAGTGCATCTGATGTTCATGCACATGAAGGTTAAATGGCCGCCTTACTAAATGCCTAATGCCTACATGCAATCAGAAAAAGGTGCCTCACCTGATTCTGCAGCAACTTGTTGAGATCTTGCAATACTGTCTGAAGTCCGGTTCATTATCTCTGTACCTTGTATGAGTTTATTTCTGTGACTAGCCTATTATTTGAAATGATTAAATATTAAAGTCAGATAAATATTGTGAAGACATTATTTTGGCAGCAGCCCTCGAAAATGAGGTCGGCATTCGGCAATGCCGACCTAAATGCCTACCTTAATCAACCTCCCAGGTCAGCAAATTTTGCCGACCTTAATTCAGCCAAAGTAAGAATCTTTGTTAACTTACATTCGGGTCAAATTCTTTGGGTCCTGTCGAAAGTAGATCATCCCTTGCAGATGAAGCCTGGAAACCACTTGTAATTTTATTCTGTAAAGTTAAACATTTTATTTCCATTTTATTAATACGATTTTCATTTGCCCCACATTCTAAACAAATATAAACAGCAACAAACTTTACCAGATCTCGTTTCATCTTTTCAAGCTCTCTGGACTTGTTTCGGACTCTCGCATTCATTTTATTTCTATATGCACCTGGAGCAATCACTGCTTCCTCTTCCATATCTTCCAACTAAAAGAATGAAATATAAATCATCACATATTACGCATTTCATAAAATGGATCTAAAACTTTGGTAATGTAAAAATATAATGAACTTACAATGATCTTGGAGTCTTCAATCTGTTTCTGCACTTCACGAATCTTTTGCTTTTTGAGTTCTGTATCGCAATCAGAGAATTGCATTACAATTTACAAAGTGTGCTCTGGACAGCTAAACTTGGAACCTACACAGTCATGTATCTTTCTCAACAGGGACTGCTAGCTAGTACCTTGCAATGATTGATACACATGCTCAATCCTGCCCAGGTTAAAGCAATTCCCATCTTAGATTTGTCATTCGGCACTTGTATCTCTACCTGTATGCCCTAATGTATAGGGGGTATGACCCAACCACCTAGGGAGTGTCCACATTTCGATTTACCCTGCAACACACCCATTCAATAATAAATTATGTTACAAACCCTCCTTGCCAAGAAAGCCCATTCTAATAAATTTATTTCAGTTTGTGCTTGAAAGAAAGAACACCTGTCCAGTCAATGCAGTTCATATTTGTGATTTCAAATGCTGTGTACTGTATAATGGCTTCGTGAATAAAAAATGTAGCTTGCTTAAGCGGTCTATATCAGTCCCAACCTCGCAAGCCAGGCTCTATACTTCTGCTTCCCTCCCCAACATGCTCCAGCAGAGAGTGTTGGGGAGGGACCAGACTGCAGAGTTGGTCAACGTAGGACTCAATATTTTTTAAAGCAGAAATTTCAGCGCACCTGGGATGTACTCTATAACAATTTTGGAAATTTGAAAATCTGCTCTCAAATCTCTCATTTTCATTGTTTTTAACATGTATCTTGCTACTTTTGTGCCCTTGACTGCATCTTGAAGTGCACTTGGGAACTGTTTTGCACACCTGCACTTTGATTTTCTAACATTTGCACACCCGCGATCTTGTCGAAAAGTGCCCAACTCTGCAGTCTGGGGGAGGGAAGCGGAAGTGGAGAGCCTGGCTTGCGAGGTTGTACGAGTCAAAATTGAAAGGGTTCACTGCATTCTTCTTTATGGTTGAAAGGCAATAGAGATTTAATATTAAACAATAAACAGTAGCGTAGCCAGCCCGACGATTTAGTCCCGCTATGCAAATATTTTCGTGTTCATTGACTGTGAAAACAATCAATTTCTAAAGAAATGAATAATGATAATAATTCTGAATTTGCATAGCGGGACTAAATTGTCAGGCTGGCTACGCCACTGACAATAAATCAAAATAGAAAAAGTGGACTTTTTCTTCGGAAACGATATTGAGTGATCTTCAAAATGGTCTCCAATGGGGGAGAGGTTCTAAGCAATCCATTTTTTGACAATCCAGGGGGGGATGTTTCCATTAATATTACTCTGCCCATATCCATGACCAGTGTACATAATTTTTCTGCTACTGAGACCCAAATACAGCCATATATTAACATAGTAATCATATAATTATTATGACAAAACTTTACTACCTCCATCAAGCCTTTGTATTTTCTCTATACCAGACTGAACTTCTGAACACAATACGTCTAATTCTTCACCCAAATCTTCAAATTTTTCAGAATTTAATCCTCTATACGCCATGGTTTTGAGGTTTTGAGAAACAGCGAGAAAGAAATTTTATAGTTGCGTTAATAGTTTAGAGAAACCATAACATATAAAGGGTAGCGTTCAAAATTTCAACTGAATTGAAATTTTTAATACTCTGTCACTCATTACCATTTTTCCAAACAAAATTTTAATTGCCAGCCAAAGAATATATTTTACATATGCCAGAATTACAATGACGTCATTTTTAACCATTTATTATTGAAAATTGTTCATTAAATTTCCATGTAAAATCAGCTATTTGTTCGC